CCAGTCCCTCCCAGTCCTCCCCAGTCCCTCCCAGTGCCCCCCAGTCCGTACCGGTTGTCCAGGCACACGTCCCCGGCCAGCCCGGACTGTTTGTGGCTGAATTTGACCACGGGGCGCCGAGCCCCGGGCACGGCGCGGACCCCCCGGACCCCCGGCACGCAGCGCCGCAGCACCGCCCCCACCAGCGCCAGCACCTGCTCCGGGGGGGCCCCCCGCCCCAAAAGGGACCCCCCGCACCCCAAAAGGGACCCCTCGGACCCCGACAGGGACCCCTCGGCCTCGGAGGACTCAGCCCCCGACAGGGACCCCCCCTCAGAGCCGCACGGGGACCCCGCGGGAGAGGCGGGCTCGGAAGGCAAAAGGGGGTCTCGGTCACTCGAAGGGGACCCCAAAAGGGACCCCCCGCACCCCAAAAGGGACCCCTCGGACCCTATAAGGGACCCTTCGAGGGAGGGGTCTCGGTCACCCGAAAGGGACCCCAAAAGGGACCCCTCAGACCCCCAAAGGGAACCTTTGTCCCCCGAAAGGGACCCCTCGGACCCCATAAGGGACCCTTCGAGGGAGGGGTCTCTGTCCCCCAAGGGAGACCCCAAAAGCGACCCCTCGGACCCCAGATGGGACCTGTCGGACCCCAAAAATGACCCCTTGAGGGGGGGGTCCTTGTCCCCCAAAAGGGACCCATGGGAAGGGGGGTCCCCATCCCCCAGCAGTGTCCCCGGGCTCTGGGGGGCCCCGTTTGGGGGTCTCAGGGTTTGGGGGTCCCCATTTGGGGTCTCTGGGCTCTGAGGGTCCCCATTTGGTGTTCTCAGGGTTTGGGGGTCCCCATTTGGGGGTCTCAGGCTCTGGGGGTCCCCATTTGGGGTCTCTGGGATTTGGGGGTCCCCATTTGAGGGTCTCAGGCTCTGGGGGTCCCCATTTGGGGTCTCCAGGATTTGGGGGTCCCCGTTTGGGGTCTCTGGGCTCTGGGGGTCCCCCAGCTCCAGGTGCAGGTCCAGGTCGCAGCCGTGGACGTCGAAGCCGTTGACAGAGGAGCCGTAGGGGACAACGGAGCAGCCTGGGGACACGGGGGGGACAGGTGAGGGACAGGTGTGACAGGTGGGGACACGTGGGACAGATGAGACAGGTGTGACAGGTGGGGACACGTG